GACCGGAACTCGGGCCAAGATTTTCTAGGAACCAGCGCTGCAAATTTGTCCATAGCAGCCCATGTGTTATATGCACAGTGACTCAGCAGGACCTGCTAGTTTTCTACACGGAGCAGTAGGCCCCCAGAGGCCTACTTTCTGCCCAGGAGGTCCATCTTTTTAGCGCCCCGCTCTTTGGTGTGGCACCCGGTTGACCATGCCTCTCTCTCTGGTTCACCGCCTAGACGCCCAGGGACCCCAGAGGCTAGTGGGAGAATAGATGCTTGTTCCTCTCCTGCAGTACAAAGTACCTCTGCTTGACCTTTTTAATCAGTCGGTGGGATGGAAGCCGGGGTTTGCAGGAGGGCCTTCATGATCTTTGTTAAGTTCTTGTTAATAGGCAAGGCCACTCTGGTGGGGTTGTCTGACTGCAGGATGTCAACCTTGAGGTCCGAGCCTTCCAACACTCTGTACCCTCTGCCTGTACTCTCCAGGCCAGGTGACGGAGGTCCTGATGGGACCTCGAGTCCATGGAGGGTCCAGAGGGGAGGGCCCCACCAAGGGTCTCGTCAGGTGAAGAGGAGGACAACCTTTTCATACCTACCACCTCCAGGTTGTGGACCTGTGAGGGTACCTGGGAGGCCACAGAGGAGGCCACTGTAGAGGGCCGAGCAATGGATGGCGCTCTCTGCAGCAGATCTTGGCTAGGCCTGCCCTGGGGGTGCGCCTGCCCTGACATTGGGGAACAAGTCAATGGGGTTGCCGAAGTGGGAGCCCTGGGTCCTGAATAGGCCAACTCCGCCTAGAGGAGCCCACACACTGGCTCTGGTGGTAGGCTGAGGGGGTCTAAAATGGCCACTGAGCCAGGGCCTGCATTTGTAGCAGCCAGGACTGCTGCACTGCTGGTACCGGGGTAGGCTGAGGCCAGGGCTGTTGTTCCTGGTGTGGCTGTGGCTGCGCCAATGTACTGTAGTGCCGGGACGGTGGCGGGAATAAGAGCGGGGTTGCTACTTTGACCTGGAGCCCTGTGATAACCAGGCAGATTCCACCTCTGAATCGGTCAAATACTCAGAAGTCGACCACAGCAGTGCGGTAGCAGTGGCGGCTGGTGACCTTGGACTCGGGGCATGCCAGGCCATGGACTCCGGTTCCCTCAGTGCCCAGGGGGAGGAGGCGGCATGGCGGTGTTGGTCTGCTTGATGTTGAGGAGCCAGTGGCTGGAGGACCAGCCAACCGTGTCGGTGCCACACAGGGCCCCTGCGTCGGTGCCGGTGCATGGGGCGGGGTGGGAGCTGAGGCTGGCTCATCGGGTACTGTTAAGGGAAAAAACTTCCGACGACATATGCACACAGCACATGCACACCTACATGCAATGGACATGAGCAATCACTCAAAGAAGAATCTTACTTTCTCCCATCCATTCATTTTATAATTTATCTTTTAGGGAAATAGGGCCCCTGCGTCGGTGCCGGTGCATGGGGCGGGGTGGGAGCTGAGGCTGGCTCATCGGGTACTGTTAAGGGAAAAAACTTCCGACGACATATGCACACAGCACATGCACACCTACATGCAATGGACATGAGCAATCACTCAAAGAAGAATCTTACTTTCTCCCATCCATTCATTTTATAATTTATCTTTTAGGGAAAT